TTTGGGATTTGCCAACTACTATCGGATCTTCATCAAAGACTTCTCTCGAGTTGCAGCTCCACTTATACGTTTGACTTGTAAAGACAAACTCCAATGCAATCAAAAAGCGGAAGTCACTTTTGAATCTTTGAAGACAATGTTTGTTTCTGCACCAATCTTGTATTGTGTTGATTTTTCCAAAGCATTTTTTATGGAAATAGATGCATCAGGCTTTGCCCTAAGTGTGGTTTTGTCTCAAATGGGAACAAATGACAAACTTCATCCAGTAGCCTTTCATTCAAGAAAATTCTCAGCAGCAGAAATCAATTACGAGATCCATGACAAAGAACTTCTTGTAATTGTGGATTCTTTTCAAGAATGGTGTCATTATCTAGAAGACACTTCCAATCCAATCACAGTGTATACAGATCACAAGAACCTTGAGTATTTCATGTCAGCACGTGTATTAAATCATGGTCAAGCTTGTTGGAGTATGTCTTTATTAAGATTCGAGTTCATCATTACTTATCGGCTAGAAAAACAACAAAGTTTGTCTGATGCCTTGTCTAGACGTTCTATTCTTTTACCAAAAGAAGGAGATGCAACTTTTGAGCAACAAAGAATGGTTCTCTTGAAGCTGGAGTAATTTCATCTTCGACTAATCAAATCAACATTGATTATTGATTTAACTCTTCTCAAGCAAGTCCAGTTAAGTATGTCTTCAAATCCTCTTGTTGATGATATCAAGAATAATTCTTCTAAATCTCATGATCCCTCTAAATTCGAGTTCAAAAACAACCTACTCTATTTCAAAGGATGCCTATATGTTCCAAAAGGAGAAGCACGTTTACGTATTCTTCAAGATCATCACGACTTTCCAGCAGTAGGATATTTTGGATACAATAAGACTTTGGAGCTGATATCTAGAGATTTTTGGTGGCTTCAAATGTGAAAGGCAGTCAAAGATTTTGTACAATCATGTGATGTTTGTTCAAGATCGAAAGCTCCTTGTCATCAATCTTTTGGACTTCTTCAGCCATTATCCATTCCAGAACAACCATGGTCTTTTGTTTCTATGGACTTCATCATGGATCTTTCAATCTCAAGTTCTTAAGACTTTATGTTCGTGATAGTAGATCGTTTTATCAAGATGGCATATTTTGAATCATGTACAAAATCTATCACAAGTGAAGAAACAGGTAAGCTCTTTCTTGACAATATCTATTGCTATCATGGATTACCCAAGGATATTATATCAGATAGGAGAACTCAATTTGTATCAAGATTTTGACGGACTCTTTTCAAGATTCTAAAAGTGGATATAAAACTATCTTCAGCATTCCATCCTCAAACTGATGGACAAACGGAGCATGTTAATCAAGTTTTGGAGCAATAATTAAGATGTACCATTAACTACCAACAAGATGATTTGACAACTCTTTTGCCATTGGCAGAGTTTGCTTATAGTGACACGATACATTCTTCTACAAAATAAACACCTTTCTTTGCCAATAATAGTTATCATTTATAACTTAATACTTTTGACTTTTCAAAAGTTGATAATCTTGCTACAAAAGATTTGGCGATTCATTTGTCAAAGCTACATGCAACAATGAAGGCGAAGTTAAAAGAAGCTCAAGAACAACAAAAGATCAATGTAGATGTCTATCGAAAGGAACAACCACCATTCCACTTGGGTGATAAGGTATATGACAATATCAAGACCACTCGTCCTTGTGATAAGTTGGACTATCGAAGGCTTGGACCATTTTTTTTTTCTGCACAAAGCAATCCAGTTGCATATCATTTACATCTACCAGAGTCAATGAAAATCCATCTAGTATTTCAAGTGTCTCTTCTTGAACCATACAAGATAGTAGACACACCAAAAAGACGACACTCTCTACTTCCTTCAATAGAAGTGGACAATAATGAAGAGTTTGAAGTATAAGAAGTCTTAGATTCAAGGTGGTGCCGAAATAAATTAGAATATCTTGTCCATTGGCATGGATATGATATTAGTGAACATACATGGGAGCCAGAGAAGAATCTTACAAATGCAGCAAAGGCGGTGGAGGCTTTTCATCGACGACATCCATCAAAATTAAGATGAAAATCTTTTTTATAAAAGAAACAACATCTAGACAAGATAACATTCTACTTTCAATCCTTGTTTATAGCTTCTGGCGTTTGAGAGATGGAGAATCAACAACCAACAGATTCGACTCAAGAGCCTTCATTTGTTGACCTATCAGACGAGACATTATGATTATCACAACCTTCAAGACAATGTAATTGAGATGAAGATCTTCAAGAATGACATGTTCTTCCTCGAATAGATGGCGAGATACAATGCGTTTGGTATCACGACTTGGAAAGGGACTCCTCATGTTTGGTGATTTTACTAGAGGTAGAAACAACTCTTGATAGTGTTCCAAATGTTCTATTCAAAGGAAGTTATGAAAGGCCTCAACAATGATCAAATAATTGAGTGGTCTTCTCGCCTTGGTATGTGACACTACCGATGGTTGAGAAGCCTTATCAATCATCTTTGAAGAGAACAAAGATCAGAGTATGTGGCGAATACAATTCGTTGCATCATAGATTTCCTCAACATATGATGACCACTCCTCGTGGAACTCGTCCCTAGAAGGGGAGGTAATATCACGAACATACTCATGTAAGCCAACAATTACATATATAAATAAAGAGAAGTAAGTAAAAGTAGATAAAAGTAAGTTAATTCTATAGTATTTGGTATGGAAGATTCTTAGAAACTTAATAGATGCTATTTTGACTTTATAGGTGTCTTTAATTGACTTTTTGGATTAGAAACGTGGTCAACAAGTTGGCCATGTGCCACACATGTTGTTAGCTTGAAGACCAAGCTAACAATATGGCCTACACGTAGAAAAACTTACCTTGTAAGTCATGGCATGTGTCCTACAAAGTCAACACTTATTGGAGGTCCTATAGATCATCGCCATGTAGCTCCTAATTAGATAGTATATATAGAGACAAAAGTGAAGCCTTTTTCACTCTTATCAATTCTTTTCTTGCTTCTAGTCTAATTTCAAGGGTCTCTAGTTTTCTTATCTTTTGGCAATAGCCATTCCAGTTTCTCTTTCAATATACATACTTGTTTATTTATATTTTGTTACCTTTCTTTGAGTAAAGGCTCACTTGTCTAAATTTCTTTTTCATTGAATTCTTGTCCTTGACAACAAGTCTTATGGTATTTTAAAAAGCTTATTTTTAGCCATTTTGTTAGCTATTATATTTAATAATATGATATTTTTATCCATGTATTAAAAAAATGATTCTATTTTGGAGCTTCTTTATATTTAAAACTTATATATATATATATATATATATATATATATATATTGATTACTATCTATTTTGTTATAAAAAATATGAGTATTTTTTTGACACATTGGATTTGATAATTTTTGATAAATTAATTTTTTTAAGTATAGATTTATTTATTTATTTAGTCATTTGAAATTAGATTAATTTTTATTAGAAAATAGTAATTAATTAATTGATTCTAAGAAAAAAATGGTTCAAACTATTACTAATCTAACTTGTAATAGGATTGATTGGTCTTAATTTTATTTAAGAATGTAAATAAATAAATAAATAAAATATCACCACCAACTATAAAAACTATTTTTCTTCTTAAAAGCATTTATATTTATCTTTATTTCTCTCTAAATGATTTTACTATCATCTTTAATGTTTTTTAAAACTCAATAACTAGTATATTCAATCTTTTTTGTCAGATCATTAATTTCTTTTAAATCGAAATTTTTAATCTTACATACTAACTATTATTATTATAAAATATAGTTCTGCAATAAATAATTATACTAATTTCAAGAGATTTGAAAAAGTATTTTAAAAGTAACCAATAGTAGACTCAAATTAATGTTCTAGCACTAAAATTACATAATTGATTTTTAAATCACTTCAGAAATTTTAAAAAAAAGAATGAATTTGTGTTTCTTGTTTGGTGATTTTTGAAAACTTCTTTTTGAAACTTTCATACAAATTAGTAATTCTGATTAAATACCAAAGATTATTGTGATCATAACAAATTGCATTAAAATATAAGCACCTAAAAAAATAATTACATCATTATTAGGATAAATTTTTAATTTTAAAAGAAATGTGTATATATATATATATATATATATATATATAAACCTTAGCCAGTTAATACAATCCATTGAAACTGATTAACAAGGGGCATTAGATAATAGAGAAGGATTAGGATTTGGTACAATGTTGTATGATGCATGACATACGATTTTTCTCCTCCTCCTTGATATGTGATTGCTCCGCTCTCTAATAATAAACAAATAAATAAAAAAAAAAACTACATTAAGACAAATCTATTTTTGATATAATTTTGGAAAACTTTTATTCGATTTTGTGCAGTTTATTTTAAATTTCTTCAAATTAGTTTTAATACAATCTTTTGTCTAACTTTAACTTTAAAATTTTAAAAAATATTATTTATAAAAATATATTAAAGTCTGTAATCAAAATCCATATTGTAATCGAAATTCGATATGTAGTTTGCTTTGATGTATTTTTCGAAAGTGCTATATCACCATAATTCATAAATATTTTATAATATCAATAATCCCACTCAACTCCATCGTTATAAAAGAAATACTAATTGAATCTGTTAAAACTGTAACACAACTAAAAAATGGATTTAATGGTTTAAAAGCCCTATTATCCCAAGTAGGTATGTGTGTGTAAGCATGTGTGTATGTGTTTTTGTTTTGTTTTTTGTTTTTTGTTTTTTTTTTTCTAAATCAAGTAACAATAGTTGAAATCATATATATATATATATATATATTGTATAGATGACTAGCACAAAACGCGTAATTTTTATGGGATAACCTGCAGTAGTAAATAATATGTGTGCTCAAATGCAATCTCATTAAGACTACATCACTCATTAAGACCTCCTATTGAATTCATGGCATTGAGATCACCTTTGAACAATGTCCGAGAATAGTTTTCTCGTTCACTGGCCTGGCTTTTATAGCCATGAACACACACACTTCGAAATTGAATCAACTCCAACGGCCGTTCATCCACCCCAGGTGCCACGTTATTCATCCGTATCGATGAGATCTGAGCTTTTCGTCTCTCTCTCCCCCCCCCCCCCTCCCGCGCTAAACTGAACATTGCTTTCAACGTTGTAGGACATTGCTGCTGACAGGTTGGCGGGTTCGAGAGAGAGCCTCTTGGCGTTGCCGGAGCGCTGCTGCAGGCTTGTCGAGAGCGGGCGGGCGCTGCTGAAGCTGGTGTGTGTTAATGTTGTGGTGCTTTCGTCATTGGCTCCCTATTTGGTTTCATGGCTTCTCTTTGCATATGGAGTTTGACCTCTGCAAGGTTGAAGAGAGGAGACTGTTTTTTAGCACGGTTGAGTGATTGTTAGATGTACATAGTGAGGTCTGGTGTTGACAGGCTTTAGATGAAGTATTTAGCACTTGTTTTTTGTAGTTCTTCTGTTGTGGCGGAGTATTGTTGAATGTTAAGAGAGTTATGGTGATAGCATGGGCGGGATGGGAAGGTCTCAGCGGGATCTTTTCGGTTATAGTGGTTGTGTAAGAAATGAGTGAACGATGAGATATTTTCAGTGTATAGTGGATTGATTCGTGTGGAGAGATCGTCGATGCATTTCCTTCCAGTTTTTTTTCTGTAGTTTTTGTGTTGCTCATCTTGGACGCTTGTTAGTTTGAGGCTTCGAGATAATTTCCGGACGAAGTAGTGGAGAGGAACCCGCCGCAAAAAGTTCTGATAAATGCCAACTATAGGCTCTTGCCACTGATCGGTGTCTCCGAATTACTTCAGATGGTATGTGGAGGCTAGAGTCACTCTGGATGGTCATATTTCTCGGTCAGGGTGGAGGTTGTGGTTTCGGTGCTTTAAACAGACCTTTAGATAGCTCGGTGTCTGAATCTTTGAATGAACATCAGTTTTGCTAGCTCGGGTCCTTAATGAGTATAGGGGTTAATAGAAACTTTTCCTGGAGAGTGTTGTCTCGAAAACACTTAAAAATACGGCTGATTCGTCAACCAGAGATTAGCACCTGCCAAGAACATGAATTAATCAAAATATATGGCTTCCTGTAGATACTTTCTTGAAACGGATAAATTGATTGAATGGATTTGCGTTGATAGCGATTGTAATGAGTGTCAATGTCTGTATAATTCTCCGAAAGGAGAGCAATCTCCCAGGAAATCTTCTAGTGGTAGAGCAAGAACTAGTATCAGCAGCAGCTCGATCTGCTTAGGTTCACTCAGCATACATTCTCATGTTGATCATGAAGGTAGAGTTCAACGTCACAGGGAGGAGGAAGTCGTTTTCGAGTGGAGTGCACGGCGATGTGGGGATGGGGAAGCCCGTAAAAGAGATAAGCGCGCCGGAGATCCCTGATGAAGAGCTAAGAAGGATCATTGGTGTCGATAATATTGATAATGGGTCATCTGTTCGTCATGTTCCCGAATTACCTGAAGAAAAAGCACCGATACAGGATCTATGTTCGCCCGGGACGATCAAGAGGGAAAATTCTGTGGTTATTGCGGTACAACAGGAGACAGAGATTCATGATGAGAGTGAAGGTCGTGCCCTGGGTGCCTCAATTGAATCTGCATTAGAAAGCTTGCTAGGAATTGAGAATGATGGATCGGAATGTCCGTCCGGCTCGAAGGATATGGAGAAGTCGATCGTAAATGCATCTTCGAATGCTGAAATTGATGGCAAAAGGGATCATGATCAGCACTTTGAACGCAAAGGTCTCGGTGACTCCCGCAAGAACCTCAGCGAAGAGCTATTGTCTCCCATTGAAGTTCAAAAGAGAATTCTCAGGCCGACGATAACGCCTTCGCCACCTAAACGAGAGGGAAGCCAAGTTTATAATATTGTGAGGGCTCTGGAAGGCTTGCAAGTCGGTGAGAAGTGTATACACGGCAAGGTTGATCATGGCCTCTGTCACGCAAGGCAAGGAGATCGCAAAATACACATAACATCATCAACAAGGATCCAGCGCGAAACCTCCATTTCTCTGAATCATAAGGTGGAGGATGCTATTTCTACCCCTGGCCTAAAGGATAACTTAGATGTCACTGAAAGTGACGGAAAGAGAGCGGTAAATGATAATGGGAGTTTCGCTCCGCACGATATTCAGTCAGGACAGACCACTCAGCAGACATCAACCACCTCGACTGAAGCCTACACTGATACCGTCGTATTTCAAAGAGGTGACGGCCTTTTGCCGTACTCTCTGGGCAAGGGTCCTTTGTCAAATTTTCAATCTTCGGGAGCCATTTTCGTTCAAGCTGGTGTATCTGTATCCACCACCCCTAGGGTCAGAATCGTTCATGACATTCCGGCAGATTGGTGTGATAGTGAGTCGCAATTGGGTGCGAGTACCTCAGCAAAGGCCATAGAAGGTGAATCCGAGGTAGAGAAAATCCTACGTCTGCAAGAAACACACGACCTTGTGTGCCCGGTGTGTCAATCTTGTATTACAAAGTCAGTCATTGTCCGAAAAAGGAAGAGAACATCTGTCATATCTAGTGCCGACAAATGGGATACAGATGTGCAGGACGAGGAGGGAAATGTTGCAGAACAGGGTCGTGACACCTTTGAAGACACTTTTGCGGAAGAGTATGAAGACTACAGATGCTTGGGGTGCTTCACCTTCCTATTTCGAAGAGGTAATATATATTTGAGGCACCCTACTGAGGAGTCAAAATCGTTTAGTTTTCTATTACGAATTTCTCACAAGAAGGTCGATTTGAGTGTCTAGTGATGCAGCAGCGGTCATTACCAATCTGTTTGTTTCCCATTCATCATGATCTCATTTGGAATTTTGGTTTGGTTTCCAGAGAAGAGTGTACAACGCGCTGAGGTTGTGGTACCGGGTACAGCAGTAGCGTCAGCTCCTGTTTCAATCACAGTCAGCTCGCAGACATTACCATCAGAGCAAAGTGATGTCCGAACCCCTGAGGCCGTTCTGGAGTTTTCTCCTATAATCACGGAAGCAGACTATGATAATCGGTGTTTGCCAATTTTCTTCACATGGAGACGGAAGACGACTAGTCCAGCTATCTCGGGTAACAACTAGGTTCTTAGTGTTCGTACAACGGGTTGATTTATTTCTTTATATATTTCCTGAAGGTGTGATGGAACGAGTACCCCGAATGAATTGTATTTGTATCGTAAACGAGGAGAAAACTGTCTAGATGCATATGCAGAGCTGGATTTCCAACAGATGTATTTGACAGAAATCAAGAAACTTATTGTACAGAAGTGGTGGCTCCCCTTCTAAGTGAAGAGGAAAGAGAGGCCGTTGTGAAAGAGTCGTTCTACGAGGACTTGCTCACTCGATCTGAAGATATACCAGTTGAAGGTCTTCAAACCTCTGTATCCGAGCAACATCCAGCCCTTGAAGTCGAGCGACTTCCTGATTATGAAATATATGCACTTCCTGTGGCCCCTGTTGCAGAGGGAGAAGTTCAAATCCCTGTATTGGTAATGGAATCCCGAGAGGACCGTCTCTGCTTCCCATTTTTATGTAGAAAGACCAGAACTACACAAGTGCAATCAGGTAGATTCTCAGTTTTTGTTTCTGCTGAAAAAGTTTCATGAATTTAACATGGATTTCAGATCCGACTATGCGCTTTGTCCTCAGAATGTGCATCTCTATTGTTGGCTGCGCATGAATATGTGCACTAAGGTGATTATAAGCGCATCAGTTATGTTTACTTTCTTCTTGTGAATTACCTTTGTGATCTAACTGATTTCGCCCATGTTGCACTTGTTCGCAGAAATTTCACAAACATTGTTGAATAAGGAAGACGTAAATACACATTACGAAGACAACCAGATTCTGCTCGAGGGCAGTGAAGAACAAACTAAGCACAGAAGACTTTTAAGTGGAGATTTCTCCGACATTGGAGATGACTTGTGGATGTATCAAGAGAAGGTTGCACTGTCTGTGGCACCTCAGGATGATCCTTCTACTGCGGTTTCTCGTATTAATGATTCACCAGAAACTTCGGCTGAGCCTGGCATGTTCGTGAAAGCAATTGATTCCAGAGAATCTGAACAAAGAGCTGATCGTTTCTGTTTTCCACCATGGCGTTCACCCAAAACGAACTTGGAAGAGATAGGTTAGTTGTATTACTACATCAAGTTCTTAATTGGGTCTATAAATTCTCCGATTTTGTTTTGTCGGAAGCATCCTTCTCGTGCAGTCTGTAAATTCCGTGACTTACAAGTAGAAGAAATTTTTAGGTAAGTAGTAGTGATTGTTGTGTGGGAAATTGCAGAGGTGATCTCACCTGAGACGAGCCAAATTTTCGATCCCCTTAACGGTGAGGAATCATCTGTGGTATTTGGCACTGGAGCCGAGTCAATTGTTGGCCCATATAGAAATACATCTGAAACCACGGAATCAATATTCTCGCGTTCAAAATCAGTCGAGAATGAAGACAGTTTTGGTAACAAAGAAGAATCTTGCATTCGGGGTCAGCAAATGGAGCGAAATTGCAGTGATTTTGGTGAAGAGTCAGTGGATGATGAGGATGTCCCGTTGGCACGGAAGCCCTCGGCGTCAAAAGCATTAACGATGAGGAAAGGGGGTCCTTTGACAGCGGATGAAGACCAACAGCTTATTGCATCAATGGTGGTAGCCGACAGTCGTATTTCAGGAGAACTACAAAGAGGTTTGAGTTTTTCTGAAGATTTTTCTGAACTTAATAACTTATCAGTAGCATCACCTCTTGATGGAATGCACGAAGAAATAGAAGAAGAAGAAGAAGAAGAAGAAGGAGAATTAAGGAGGACGGGAACTTGGACATTCTGCGTGCCAGGGAATTGCTTGCCTTCTTACTCTGAGCTTGCCTACCAACCAAAAAGTAAGTTGGGTGCATTCGAGCAGGGGTATTTGAAGATCGTCTTTGATTTTTCCGTTAATGATCTTTCCAGGTTTCCGTCTATATTAAAAATCGACCTACATGCTTTATTGAACCTTGTGCTTGGCGTTTGTTTTACTGCTCGCTTGTTTTTAATATTGGTGAGGGCACATCGTCGCTTCTCATTCTGATTTGACTAGTTATGAGCATGTTACGTGTTGTGTCTCGTATCTCTGAGGATGGATGTTTCAGAGTGTCTTTATTGATTGACTGCCTCAAACTTAGTTCATATGTTCATTCGAATGTTCATATGCTTTCTTAGAAACCTGGAAATGTTATGAGCACAATTATTTGAAACGTGAGTGAAAATTGATGTTTTCGTGATTTTGTCGCTGCATGCCGTTGCATGTCTTGCCATTTGAGTTTCTGTGGTTGACCCGTGAAACTCCTTCCCATCGCAGGTAGAGCCTCAGAGGGGCAAACTGTTTCTGAATCCGTTATCGAAGTCCTTGGAGTTTCGGGTTTATCTCTTTCCAAGGAAGCTGAACCAAAATTTCATGAGGATGTGACCAAGGATATAACAATTCATGCACGTATCGAAACTCAAACGATTACCAACATAATTTCCAACGATCCCACCGATGAACACCATGGAGAAACTGCAGACTCGGTTATGGTTGATAAATCAGCTCTTTCTCGTTCCCTGGAAGACGCTGATGAACATGTTGCTTCGAATGAGTGGTTGAAAGACTCAATCCGACAGGGCGATAGCCTGGAAGAGATCCTTCCAATTGAAGTTTTTAGAGAGATTGAGCTGGATTCTGGCCAACACATTAGCCTACCTGAACCTGCGAAAATTTCTGAGCAGCCCCTCGAAGCCTCTACTTCAAATCAATTAGTACTTGGTCGAGATGTCAGCCTCTCTATGGATGAGACCCACAGCCAGCAGTCCCTTTCAGTTCAAGAAGTTGATGCGTCCTACTGTCTTCCTAAGTTGAGGCGACTTTGGTTCGGATCTACTATTGAAGGTGTGTTTTCTGCTTACAGCCTACGGATAAATACTTGCTGCCTTTATTGTTTGAAAGGGTCTGTAGGAGCACCTGGAGCATTTAGACCACCGTAGTGTGACTTTGCAAGAACCACTTTTGTCGAGAGTATTGAACTTGGTCGTTGTCTCCTGCAGACGAACTACTTCGAGAGCCACTTCTCGGAAGAGACTCCGAAAAAGTGCGAGAGTCGAGCTGTCTTTTAGACCGAGATTCTAGAGTAGACTCCAAAGACTCTTCTGCCCGTGTGACTATTCAACAAACACATGTGGTTACTACTACTGCGAAGGCAGAATCTGGCGAGGAAGCTGAAAGGGACAACTTATCGTGTACATGTTTCCTATGGAGTGACAGCTATGGTCGAGGTTGCTTCCGAACATGAGCTTAAGTCTTATAATTTCTCAGTCATCTCTTACTTCGTGCTTAAATGTGTATGATAATGTTTCTGTCAATCATTTCGGCTCTGAATTACACAACTAATAATCGCTCACTTTCTGACCCTTTAGAAGAGACCCACAGAGACACGACAGTGACTGTGACAACTGATCACACAGTAATTGAAGTTGAGGGCACTGATGCTACAAGTACACTTTTAGCTGCTACCCGCGCAGCAGAAGATGCTGGCATGATGGTTGATTCACTCCTCCAACCTCCGCAATATCTGAAAAGCATAGTCTACGGGGGACTTGACGTGTCGCTGACAAGCCTGGGTGTTATCGCTGCAGCTGCTGGTGGTGACGCTAAGACAAGTGAGTCTCTTTCTCTCCTGATTTGTGTCAGGGGAACACATTGTTACATCAAAGACTGGCGGTGCTAACATCTTTTCCTGCTGTAGGGAATGTTCTTGCTCTGGGACTAGCCTATTTTTGTTTCGGGTTCATCGCATTTTTCTACAAGGTATGCATGCTCTCCCATGCTGTCATATTGACACTTCAAGCTCTTCAACTTAGTACTGTATCGGGCATTGTGCACTGAACTATGTGAATCTGCAAGCGGTTGGCGTATATCAAATGCTGCTTATTTCTGAATCACTAGTTTGTTGCAGATACAGGATCTGCACAGTGTAAGTCGAACTCGGTTTCGGGAGAGCGTTGGACCAAGGTTCTGGGTCAATGGCCCCCTAGCCATGCTATCGTTTCTCGTGTTTGGGCCCCTCCCAGCTCTTGCCTTTGGGCTCAGTTTCAGACAGTCGAATGGCCATGACTACAAGATGGCAGTAACTGTGGTTGTGTCGACTGTAGCTCTTGCTTTGCTTGGATTTGGAAAGGTGGCTTCGAAGATGACGAAATTATCTTACACCCGAACCGTGTCTACCCTAATTATAACGGGTGTAGTTGCAGCTGTCGTTGGATTTTACTCTGGATATTACATCTCAAAGTTACTAGAGTCATTCGGTACGTTCGATTAGTGCGAAGGTTCGAAAACTACGGCCTATTTCTGCATGTCGTGGTCACTGCAGTTAATATTTGTTTTCTCCATGAGATCGGAGCCCTCGACCATGTCCTGATCAAAGAATAAGTTTTTGGTCCATTTTATCATGTTCGTGGCCAATCCGCACTCTCCAACAAATAGCGATGCATATTGTTTCATTAAATTCATAAAATGGTCGAAATAAAGCGATGTCTTTTTTTTTAGAATATGAGAACTGTAAAATGACATTGCTTGTGCCCAATTCCGCTGATCTTTTCGTGATTTCAATGCAGCATTGATGTTTACCCCTGCCAAATTTCTCCGGTTATAGACACGTAACTTGTTTCAAAGATAGGAAAATCTGTTCCCAGCTCGTTTTATTACTGCTAGCTGTTTATGGACTACAGGAATTGTTTCTCAACGTAACTAATGGTTTGTATGTTTGTTCACGTATTTTCGTAGTTTTTATTTCTTTCAAGTTATAAGCCATAAATTATATATGATTTTTAGAGAATAATTTCAAAAACGTTACACCAATTGTTTGACATACAAAATTAGAAATGCACAAATAAAACACATCAATGTACTCATATATTCAACCTTACCAATAATTACAGTCTAAAATCATACAATGCATAGAAAACCTAAAACCACATGTCTAGGTCTTTGTAATTCAAACAATTTTTGAAATAATATAATACAAAATTATGCACCAATGGCAATTGTGGGGTGCTTTGGTTTTTTGAAAAGCAAGGTTAAGGAGCAAACTTCATAAGATTTGTTTGAGCATTGGTTTTGAGTGATTTGGATGGATATTAACTTTATAAGAGCTTTCCAAAGTTGAAGTTGTTTTTGGTGATTAAGGATTTTGTAAAATAAAAAAGAATTTATATTTTTGAGAATTTTGTGAGCATTGTAGTAAATTAATGGATGAAAAATTATGAAGTTGTAAATCTACTTATTGTTAGTATGTTTTTTAAATTTAAAATTAATTAAACAATAAAATTAGAGATGATTAAAATTTAATTTGATTAAAGTATTAGATATAAGATTTTAAAGATTACTAAGGATTTTTATAATTTTGGACAATTTGCTTATTGAATTGAAATAACTTTTTGTGAGCAAATACTGAATTTATTTTATAATATTTCTAAATTTTTCAAAGGTAAGTAAATAGTGAAATTTAGAGCTATTATTGCTAGTAGATTAACATCAATTCAGAGAAGGAGGATGGCCAACATCCGTGTAAATTAGGAACTTTTTATTTCATCTTATAAACTTGGTTCTCATTAAATTTTGTGTCCTTGTTGTTAATTAGTAGATTGATATATATATATATATATATATATGAAAATTTTAAAACAAGCTCAATAATTTAATTAATAACTATTAAGGTTTTAAAACTTATTTAAGAATTGATTAAAATTTACTTTGGATTTCATTAAGATATCTTTCAGATTTTACTTAGATTTTTTATGATTTACTTAATATTTAGATTAGATTTACTTAAAATTTGATTAGAATATATTTAGGATTTACTTAAGATTTAATTAAAATATCTTTAGGATTTTAATACAATTTTTTAGGATTTATTTAGAATTTGGTTAATTTTTACATAGGCATTGGTTAGGTATTTACTTAATTTTTGATTAGGATATCTTTAGGATTTTATTAGAATTTTGTAAGATTTGTTTAGGTTTTTTTTTATTTTTTTATTCTTTTTATTTTTTTAAAAAAAATTCTTTAAGATTCTTTAAAGATTTTGTAAAGATTTTTTAAGGATTTTATTAGGATTTTGGTTCTTTGCAATAATAAGGTGTTATCTCTCTTTTCTTTCTATACAACTATTAATTAAAGAATTATATACTATAATATCTAATAATGTATATTCATTGTAAAAAACATTTCTTTGCAAACATCCATCCATTGTAAGTAACTCACTACAATACATTGCAAGCTATCTTGACATATATTAATAAAATTATTATACAACCTCCTTACTTAATTGCAAGGATAAAATTTAAGAAGTTTTAGGTCATGAGGTTTTAGAAATGATTAAAGACTACTTTTCACATTTTTTGTGTAATCATTTATCTATTGTTTATTTGTAAGAAGGCCATAAGTGTTTATCTTAATTGCTTCTTCTTCCTAATCTAAGACTTGACATGTTCTTTTTTAGACTCAGATTTAGGATTCTATTTCTTATTGTTGCTCTAGTAGATCTTCCAGTTCATTTAAATCTCTTCCTTATCTTGAAATGATTTGGACATCAAGTGGTGGCTTGGAGCTTGTAGAGAAGGATGGATAAGGTGCTTAGGTAGTATCTAAGAGGTTTTGGATTCAAACTCCTATAGTAGCATATAAGAGAAGAAGAAAAATATTCTTTTAAAATTTTTCAATTTATTTATTGAGGATATCTAGAGGATTGGCCTTGCAATACTTGTATTAGGAGATTATGTTGGGTGACAAGGGCACTTATTGCCTACTAACAAAAATCAGGAATCTTCCTTAATAATAGCATGGTGTGTGATACCTACACCTTATATATATTTACTTTTCTAATGGATTGGTATATAACTTCATCTGAAAAAAAAAAAGGACTTACAAGTTGGTGGAGGTTAGAGTGTGATGACATCAATCTTTTTAAAATAAAATTATTCATATAAAATAAAATTTATAATTTAGGATTTTAAAGTAAGATTTAGGATTTAAGAATATAGTAGGACTTAAGATTTTGAAAAGGTAGCAATCATCTTTATAAAGATATATAAGGACTCTCAAAAAAGATTTTGAATTCTCTTGTGTTTTTTTTTTATAAATATTTAATGAAAAGATTTGTTGATAATATGAAGAGAAAGAAAATTTACAAAGAGTTCATGTTTTATTGAGTGTTGTATATGTTTTGAAAGTTTTTATAAAAAAATAGAACAATTAATAGCATTGACAGGCTTTGTATTTTTTCAAGGCAATCTCTCTTCTCATGATATAATTAGTGCTTCCACTGAAAGAACCTTGAAGCACTTATTCTTCTATTAGAAATAATGGAGGATAATGATGTAGGATTCAAAATGCCAAGATGAATAGCTTCAAATGAATTTTTTGTACATTTATGCAATTCATGGAGCAAAAATAATAAGTTCAAGAGAATGGTAAGGGTACCACTAAAACCTTGTAAGTTGTCATTGATAGGATTGGAAGATTTAAGGAGAGAAATATCATCAAATTTCAGAAAGAATGATCAAAGGTTATTTTTGGAATGAATTGAGGAAAGGCCTAGCTGTCAAATAGGCTCAAGCAAATTAATTAAGGATTTTGAGAAGAAATTTGGCTAATTACAAAGGTGTGAAAGGCAATTGCTTAACATAAAGAATACTAAGTTATTATTCCAAGCAACAAATAATAATTTGAAAAATAAATTATTCTTTCATTTAACAGATATAACATCTAAGAATGGCTTAACTAATGATTGAAAAAAATAATGGAAGTAGTTGAACTTTTAGCTAAACAACAAAAGTTCAAGACTTATTATTCAACATGAGCAAAGCTTGTGACCATTGTCCAAACTACTTCATCAACTCAAAAGTTGAGAAGGTTACTTGTTGTGAAGTAAAATAAACTTGCACTAGTTCAAAGTCTAATCTAATTTACAACAATTTTAATTGTCTAAATCCTCTAACAAATATTTATTAGCATTTGAATTATGTCCAATACTTCTAATACTATCTAGTTGGGAGGTAGATAAAACCCCTAATATGTGATTTATCCTAACTCATGACTACTAATTAACTACCAAAATGATTACCTAAATTCCCTTCTATTTCTTACTAAAAAACTTAAATCCTCTATTTAGCTAAATTCACACTTACACAAACACAATAGACAATGCAAACCACACAATCAATACCCAACCACATACTCTTGAAAGGAAATCATTTATTTAAATATATTTTTTATTTCATTGAAATTTTTTCTAGTAATAAAAAAATAATCATCTAAGGTTAAAAGTTCATCCAAGACAAATTCTCATCCATTAATGAGTTTTCATCTACAAATAATTTTTCATCTACGAATAAAAATTCATCCATTAAATGTCAATTTTCATCTTATAGAGTTCATCTAATTGAACTAATTTCATCCTAAAATTCATCCAAAACAGTTCATCAAAGTCCTAACCTAAATGCATCCTAACCTAATTTCGTCTAGCCTTCAAATTATCCAATCTGAATGTCTCACTCTTACGTGAGGATGATTTTTTTGATTCTTCTGCTTTGAACACGCTGTTGCTCCAGATGCTCTTTTTTTTGTCCCTTGCTCGTTTTCTTGTTCGCCAACGTTAACCCAACTCAACCAGTCTCTCTGATATGAATGGTCTAACTAGACCGTTGAACCACGATTGACTACTCCAAATAGAAGCAAGTTCTGTAACTGTGAATCTGGAAAAACCTTGCCTCTAGCTACAAATTCAGCTAAAACCGGCTTGATTTCTACCTCTTCTCACTATGGCTAGGGGTCGTCAGATCTGTGAGCACGGCTTCAAATTCGAAGCAAAAATCCTTCACAAGACAAGTATAACGGAATGCAAAAGCTGCGGCTCCTTTATCCAAATCATGAAACTACAGTTCGGTGAGACCCAGATCAAATTTAGTTGCCGAGAAACTATGTGAGGGCGACAAATTTTCTACGCGGAGTTGTATGGTTCTGCAACTAAGGAGTCTAAGGATATGAATGTCAATTGTGGGCAATAGATGAAGCTAAGGTACTCAATTGTGGGCCTGTGTCTTTTTCACTTGCTAGCTTCTTAATCTTCATCGCAGTAGCCTTCACAGATACACCAATCGCACTCGAAGATGAAAAGACAGTCAGACTAGCTCTCACAATGGCCGCATGTTGTGACACCGGCCGTTAATGCAATTGCTGCAAGTTTCAAAGCCACGGTGATTGTCCATCCTTTGACTAACTCAATCGCACTCCAACGTTGCCGATCGACCTCCTTAAAGTTGCTGGCTGCTTAGACACTATCCACAATATCGATGGTCACCGTCGCAGCTAGCAATCACCAGTCCTCAAAACTAACTAAAAACGATTGAATGCTACGCCAACTGCCGCCGCCACGGCAAAGCGCTGAAGGAACTCAGATTGGAAATGCACCATGCTCCACCACAGAGAACCAGTCCTGAACTGCCGACTGGATCAGTAACTCCGACATCCGCGTACCGTAGCAGAAATGGA